TTTAAAAAATATTATTTTATTGATTTTCTTGGTTTTTGTTGCTTTAGTTGAAATTCCCATTCGTAAAAGTATGAGTCAAGACTTCTCATCAATAAGAGCATCATATGGTAGAATGATGTATAATGTTCGTAAAGCTATCAGAAGTCATCAAGTTGATTTTGATGAGCTAATAGACTTCACCATAAGCTGTAGCAGTGATATTGAAGAGAAGCTAGACAAATCCTCTGATGTAGCTAGTGTCCTCCGTGTGATTGAGAAGAAAGAATGCTCTCTGATTGATACCAGTCTTATTTCTGCTGTTGTTGAAGAGTTCAGAGTCACTGAAGCTGAAAGATACGTTGAAGAGTATAGGGAGAAGTTGAGAGAATTCTGTCGGTCTATATCTGTCACTCTCTGCTTGAAGGAGAAGTTTGAAGCTAATCCTTCACTTCAATGTGAAACAGCTACCTATGTGTTTGACTGGAGGCCTGATGAGAAGAAATTGAAAGATATCACTGATATTCTTTCAAAGACATCTGGTAGATTTGTTAAGATCAAGTTCATTGATACTGGATACTCCATTGTGATCACTTGCTCCTTCCCTCACTCTCTCATTGGAGCTCTGATCACAAAATTAATTGAAAATCTTGATGTATTAATAAAGAATTGTCTAAAGAAATTTACGATTGGATGCTGTTTAATATGGAAAAAACAAAAATTAGAAGTATGTGAACCATCTTTATGTATTAATATTATTTCTCATTGTATTATTATTATTAAGAAGATGGAACAACTATTAGAAGAAGGTATAGATGTGATCAAGGCGAATCAAGGAAATATGAATCAAGATCCTTATTACTTACAAGTAACTTAATTGTGTGTATGTATCATATTGATATTTAATCAATATGGCTAAAGAAGAAAAAGAAGCAACTTACAGCATGTCATTTAGAAGGTATTTTGCATGTTTTATTATTGTATGCATGTGAGTATTCTTATTAGATTCTGGCATGCAATCACTTGATACAAGTTTTGCTATTGCTACTTCACAAGTAAAGAAAGAAAGAGAGGCAAACAAGAGATTAGAAGAGAAACTACAAAGTTAGTATTAAACAAAAATAATATCATCAAGTTATGTAATAGAATTGAAAGAAAAGCACCGCATTCAGCATATGTTAATGTTAACTAATACTGGCTCAGGTTAGATTGATAATAACTTATTATAATCAAACTGTGTAATAGCTTTGAGCAGGATTAGAAGAGGAATGAGAATGGAGATAGAAGAATTGATATTATATTTAACAGCAAATAAATCTGGTATTGAATCATATTGTATGTATCTCAGTGTACTATAGATCCTATAATAGATTTAGAGGATCAGAATGCAGCAATAGTAGAGAATAAGAGAGAGATAGAGTATTTGCAAGAACAAATATCATCAACTAGTGTACAGTTACTTATGAAAAGAAAAGAGAATGAAGCCATGAAAGGTTAAGAATAGTATTGCTATAATATGAACTGTACTGTTTTTTTATAGCTGATATAAAGAAAGAAAAACAGATTCTTTCCAAGTAAGCTAATGCTTTAATTTTTAACATCATTTATAATTTTTGCTATCATAGTCAAGTGAAACTATTGTATGAGAAAGATGAAGTAAAGGAGAAAGATCCTAAGGTTGCAGTTCCTGAAAAGATGGAAGAATCCACTGAGAAAAAAGTCAGAAATGATTTTTATTATCCTACTTTGTTTCTCCATTTTATTATTCAGATATTACCAACTGACACACTCCTCTTTGACCAACCGTTAGTAAAATTCTTTACACTTAACAGTGCAGTTGCACTAACTCTATTTTTTTCCTATTTCTCATAGCTGGTTTCATGCTGAGTTAACTAGGAATGATGCTGAAATGTTGTTGGATGATTACAAAGACATTCCAGGGGCTTTTCTTGTAAGAGAACCTGCAAGCAGCACAAACTATGCCATATCATTTATGTAAGTTGCATTTTATCTTCCTTTCTTCTATTCTCTGTCATTTTTTCTTTTTTATGCAGTTTCCAACAAGTGTGTAATCATATGATGATTCAGCAAAAGTTTAAAGAAGGGAAGATGAAGTATTATCTTTTCCGTTATCATCTTAAGTTTGATTCAATCTTTGAACTGATTGAGTATTATCATCAATATCCAATAATAATGGGTCAGACTCAAAATACTTTTGTGATGCTCACTGTTGCTGTCCCTAAAATAGTGAGTAAAGATATTATATTTTATGACCTTTTATGTCTTCTTCTTATCTTCTCTTTTTTCATTGTTCCAACTCTTATACATAAGAATGACTATGAAGCAAGGCCATGGTTTAGTAATGTTTCTAAAATAGAAGCTGAGGATATGTTAAACAGTGTGTTACTTGATGGTGCCTTCTTAGTGCGTCCATCTAGTCAAGAATCTGAGGATGGAAAGAAGGCATTGGCTATTAGCTTAAGGTAAATCAGAGATAGAAATAATTTTACATTCTACATGTGCATATTATACCAACTAGATCATAATAATGTATGTTTCTACTTTAATTTTCTCCATTTTTACACTGCATACCCAGAGGCAATGATAAAATATGTCATATCAGAATTACTAAGGATGGGGAGCAGTTCACAATTGGAGGACCAGCAGGATTTACCTTTGGCAACCTAATAGAATTGATATACTATTACAAATATCAACCAATTTATCTTAACACTAAGCTTACACATCCCATCAACAAAGAGATACTAGAGCAGAAAGTAAGAGAAGCCAGAAGATTATTATGATTATTATATTTTTTAATAATGGTACTAGACTTCAAGTGCATTAATGCAGAGCCCTCATTTACATGTATACGAGTCTATTAAGGAGCATCCTATCACAGTACATGCATTATATGACTTTAAAGCAAGAAGAGCAGATGAGCTCTCATTTGAATGTGGAGCTGTTATCACTAATGTTGAGAAGATACATGAAGACTGGTGGCGTGGGGAGTACAAAGGATCTAGAGGTGTGTTTCCTGCAAGTTACGTCAAAGAGATTTTGTAAACCAAGAAACCAGAATGCACTATGAACTTGTATTAAATTTAAATTTCTAATCAATAATACTTTTGAAATAGATAGGTGTATTTTTTACCATCATAAACTGAAAATTTATGCACAAATTTAGATACTAGATCTAAATATATTAGATCTAGATCTACCAGCCCTTCCCTTTAGGGCGGAAATGGCTGATTCTAAAGTCAGTCATTTTTCATCGTTTTTCTCTTCTCCTTTGTCTGTCGGTAAGAAGTAACATATATATATATAGTATAATAGAATCCCTTCTCTTTAGATCAACTTGTAGATGTCATTGATTTGTTAAAGAGGTCAGGGTATCCTGAAACAAGATGGCAAGATCTGGGACTGAGACTAGGACTACACAAGAACACACTGGATATCATCAAAAATGACAACAGCACAACATCCAGTCAATGCATTGAGTGTCTCTCCCAATGGTTACGTAAAGCAGACAATGTAGATAGTAAAGGAGGAGCTACCTTTGACTCACTGTCAGATGCTCTTAGATCAATGGATGAAATTGCTGTAGCTGACAAGTTAGATCAAGAGAGTAAGTTAACAATATATTGTTGATATATTCCTATTCCAATGATAGGACGTAATGCTATGGCTACTTGTATTTTTGATA